CATTTAGAATCAGATTGGCAGCCTGGTATTTATTTCTTTACATCCAAAAGAATAGACCACCAAAGTAGTTTAGAATACACTGGGTAGAGAAATTTTTAAAGAAAAAAGTTAAGAAAAAAAAAAAAATCCTGATAACCAACTACACTCCTCAATTTTAAAGGCAACAATTGCAGAGAAATGAAAGAAGTGTAAGTCCACAAGGAGGTCTTTCTAAGGAGAAAAGGGAAATAGCTAAGTACTAAGAGGTCACAAGGAACATTAAACACATAAAAAAGCCCCCACTCATTAAATTTAAAGATCTGGTCCTGCAACAGCAGTTTGTTCTTACTAAAAGGCATACCATTTGTAGGGATTTTTTTTTCATTCAAAAAGATTAACAATATTACTTTGCTTTCTGAATGTTTTTGTCACTGTTCTTTATTTTCATTCTATAATGAGTGCTACCAAAAATGGCATCTAAATATAAAAATGAAGATTGTTATTTATTCATTGTCAAAAATCTGAGAATATTAAGTTTAATTTCTTTAGTTTGTTTTGAAAGAAATGTTTCATTGTCTGTTTTAACTTGTAAATAAAATAAATATCATACTTCTCACCACTGGTTCTTAAATGCACTACTATTTCCCAGCACAACTATATCAGCAGCAGCCATGACAACAATCCCAGTCCACTTCCTCAAGTGTGTACTGCACTCTCATGCTCAATAACCACAACTGCCTTTCCTATGAGCAATGTGGAATTAAAAAACAAAATGAAATCATAGCTCTCACTGAATTACTTCTATACTAAATATTAGATACTGAAATAAAATATTGAGGGGTAGCCTGAATTAGGAGCAAAGTAAAAAATGAGATGAGAAAATATTTAATAGTAAAAACAGACTAACAGAAAACATGATTGATTTGATTCAGATTATTTTTTTAGGGAGTTGTGAGAATTGAGCAAGTCACTTAAATTGTAGTTTCACTTTTCTCACCTGTAAAACAAGGATTTTGAGCTTGATGATCTCCAAAGTATCTTTTAGCTATAAATTTCTATAATTCCAAAAACACTTGTAATTTAGTTAAGAAAAAATATCTAAGGCATCCAAACTGGAAAGAGGTAAGTAAAATTATCTCTGTTTGCAGGTGATATGAATTTATAGGTACAAAACCCTAAGGATTTGCAAAAAGAAAACAAAGGCAAAAATCCTTTAGAATTGATAAATTAATTTGGCAAAGTAGCAGGATAATAATTCAACATGCAAAAATGAGTTCTATTTAAACATACTAACAATGGACAATCTGAAAAGGAAGTTAAGGAAAAACAATTCTATTTACAATAAAAGGAAAAGAATAAATTTTTTTTAGAAATTAACCAAGCAGGTGAAAGACTTCTTCAATGAAAAATACATTGCTGAAAGAAATGAAATACATTAATAAATGGAAACACATGCACATTCATGGATTGTAAAACTTATTGTTATAATGTATGCTCCCACTTATATAAAGAACTTGGACAGTTAAAATCACTGACAGAAAGTAGAATGGCGATTGCCAGGGACTGGGAAAAGGGGTGGGGATATAGTGTTCAATGAGTATGAATTTTTAAAAGAATTATAAAGATGAAGATGAGATGAATGGTAGTGATAGTGGCAATATCATGAATATATTTAATACCACTGAATTATACCTTTAAAATGGTTAAGATGGTAAATTTGTTATGTATATTTTTTACCATAGTTGAAAAGCTAAAATGAACAATTCCATGATTCTATGAAAATAAAGCAAGAAGGAAAAACACCTAAAAAAACATAAAATGAAGAGGTGATGGAGTTGTATGGATGTGCATATGTGTTTAATATCAATTTTTCACACCTCTTTTTTGCCCACCTCCACAATTTGTACAAAAAACTAGACAGTATGAACAGGTAGGGCCTCTTCAGCCTTGGTTTACTTGCTAAAATCTGGTTCTTTCATTCAAACAGTTTATGAAATCCTATGCACTCTATTCCTGAAGAATATAAAAATGACTAATTACAGAATTAAACTCCCTAAATCTGCTGTCTAAACTCGAAAGCACATGTTCTTGTTTTACCTCTATATCACTAAAGTACTTTCCCCTGCATATGATATAGATTATTCAAGTCAGTCAAAGATGTTTTACTTTATTTTAGAATCCATGCCAAGAAATTTCTTACAAAAACAATGAGGGAAAAGGAAAACAGGAAACATGAATTGCCAGGAATAGGTATCTTTCATTAATACTGCTTTAAAATATTACTTAAGTAAAATAATTCAATAAAAGAACAACACGAGTTTCATGCATGTTAGTGTTTTATATATAGATACACACACACACACACACACACACACACAGATATGTTTAGTATTAATAGCTTTGATCCATTATCGTGAGCCAGTGAGTAGAGTAGCCTGCTTCCAAATCTGCATTAAGATGTAGGAAAAAATTGGATAGATGTATATTACCAATTGGTTAAGTAATGAGCTATAAAGTCATAAATTTGAATAACTAATTTCAGTACACTGTGATCAAAGAAAAGAACAATCTCTTAGTAATTCAATTTTTTATATTGTGAAATGAGGGAAATATTTGTTAATCTAGCAAAAGCATAGTAAACACACAAAATATTCTCCTCTAGACTGATCATATATAATAAATTTTGAAGAGCATTTTGGGTTATCTAGAAGTTATTAGCATAAAACAGTTTGTGGATGGAAGATTTACAGCTGTGTTGTTTTCTTAAGCATTAGTTAAAATTTTTTCAGGCATCTAAAGGGCCCAAAATTATAGTAGTTAAATTGGCTGAAACCTATTATAAATGAAGTACATTAACCTGATCGGGAGCTACCAACTTAAAAGCCAAATTTATAATTTGAGATCTGCCCTAGTCAGCTTGGTGGCTATCAAGAGATAAACCCGAAGAATTATTTTACTAACAGAAAAGGATTTACAATGTCCTTCAAACCTGGAAGCGGCACAGGTAGTTTTAGTGTGGGTCATAATCAAAACAGTATCGAACAAACTCTGCGTACTGTGCCTTTTATTTCTAATAAGGTTATATGGCTGAGCTGGTGACATGTAGCCAGGTCATATAGAAAGAAGGTATCTGCCACTTAATGATGATTAAATGAAACAACCAAAATATATTTCTGAGATATATCTCTCCCATCTCAATTTGATCACACCAACACAAAGGCGCCCAATGACCTGCATTTTATCTGTACTTATCCCTACACTTTTCCAAAAGTCTTTCCTCCTTAAAAGCTATCTTCTCTCATGTTTATTTTGAACCAGTTTTTCTTATCTTTCTTTTATTCTGAGTCAGGGTCTCACTATACAGCCCAGGCTGGCCTTGAACATGTAATTCTCTTGCCTCAGCATTCAGAGAACTGGGATTACAGGTTTGAGCCACCATCCCTGGCTTGATTCAATTTCAACTATGTAAAAGGGCAGTGGAAAAGAAACACACAATCTGGAGTTGTAATATCTTCTGCTCATGTAGCCCTTAAAAAACACAAATATTCATCTCACACAAAATATCTCAAGAAAAATGTGAAACAAGCTTCTTTAGATAATTCGTAGGAAAAAAGACAAAAAATAAAAGAACTCTTTCCAGAAAAGTTAATAAATAAGCTTATTTATTTCTTTACAATCTGACATTTTCCTTGGCTGAATGGATTTCCCTTACACATTTTTTGCTCAGTTATTCTTATCAATTAATACTAAAAGTTATAACCCAGGGTATTTGGATTAGGGGGCTCTAAAATGGCCTCCAGTACTCCCTGCCTCCTGGGATTCATGCCTTGTGTAATCCCATCCCTCTCCATTTTGGGTTGGGCCAAATGACTCATCCTAACAAATACAATATGACAGTATCATGGGATATCACATCTAAGATTAGGTTAGAAAAGACCATAGCTTCCATGTTGAATGCTCTCTCTTGGACTGCTCACTCAAGAGGAGGCCAGCTGCCATATTGTAAGTGGGGAACCCTCACCCATCAACAACCACATGAGTTCACTTGGAAGTAGATCCTACTCCATCTCAGGGGAGCCTTCAGCTTGATTTCAACCTTGTAAAAAACCTGAGCCGTTCTGTTAAACTGTACCCCAGTACTTGACCCACAAAAACTGAGGCAGATGATTGTTGTTGTAAGAGGGGTTAAATTCGGGGATAGTTTGTTAACCAGAATAGATAACTAATGAAGTATCTAAGACAAGTAGTCAGGTTAAGTGGTAAAAATGAAAGTTTCTGAATCGACCTGAAAAGTATGATTTAATCCTCATTCTGAGACCTGGTCTATTTTCCCAACCATTTTCATGAGTGGGAGAGGGCTTCTATATTAGGAATACAGTTACCAAACTCCAGATAATAAAAGAAGGGAAAGAGTGCTAGCCATGGTGATGCATATCTGTAATCTCAACACTCTGGATGCTGCAGGGGGAAAATGAAGAGTTTGAGACCAACCTGGGCTACATAGTGAGTTACAGGTCAGCCTGGGCTATATAGCAAGACCCTATCTCAAATAAAACAAAACAAAAACCAATAAATAAATAAAAATTTAAACAGGGTAAGGGGAGTTGAAATGGAAAACAAATTTGTTTCATTTACAGTAATAAAGGTCATGACATATTGATTTGGGAGAAACAGGATTCTTAAAAATAAAAAAACATTATTTGTAAGACAAACAGACACAATTATTAAATTAGAAAATATATATAAAACCTAAAAATAAAGCTTAAAATGTATCAATAAACAAGAACTGAGATTTATGCAGTCTTGTCACAATGGTAGTCTGATCTTCCATGTGAGAAATTACAGCCAAATCACAGAGAAACAAGAGAAGACAAAGAATTTAAAATTTTATAACCAACGTTTGGCTGCTTAACAATTAACAATCACTCATGAATCTAACTTTATGTGTTTGCATTCATATTACTTAAAAATAGTAAAGGATCAAAAACTCTGATCAGGAACTCAATTAACACTCTACCTACCTGAAAAAGCAACACGTGGACCCAGAGAAAGTGACCTTTGGTATTTCTCCGTTTCATTTCAGAATGAAGCCGGGTCACTACCTAGAGTCCCCAAGCCGACCTATAACCCAATGGCCTAGAAACTAAAGGGCACTCCCATTCCCGCCTCAGGATACGGAATGTTCATTTTAATAAGCCATTCCCGCTGTCACTCAAGGTGCTTTCCACTGTCATTGGTCCTAAACTCTTGCTGGTCGGCCAGTTTCTGCCGAGTGGCAAGCTCCCGCTGTCCTTACTTCAGGGAGAAAAGTGAGGGTGTACAGGCAAAAGAGGTAACTGATAAGTGACGCTTGTACCTGAGCCACCTGCGATCTCCACCGCCGCCGCGACGAATCGGTCTCTGGGCGGGGACTTTTAGCCAAAAAGAAAATGATTCAGCCGGGAACTGGTGCCTGGGCCATGGAGAAACCTTTCCAACCTTTACTTGTGCACGTCAGTGAAGATAACGGCGGTAAGAGTACCAAAAAACAAAAACAAAAACAAAAACAAAAACACCAACCCCCTGCAAACTCAGAGCACCTCGGGCTGCTGGAGCCAGAGCTGCGGACGCTCGGAGTTTTGACGTTTCCTATTGTTGCCGGAAGTGACGTTCGGGAGCTGCTACTCAAAGAGAAGCATTTTAGTGTTCGTGACTTAATATTCACTATAGATTCTTTGTTTCTCACGTTGCAGTGAGAGCCACTCTGACCATTAAAATTATAGTGACTTAAAATATGAGTTTAATATATGACTGACTATTGAAGAGACTCTAAGAATAATCAAATCTCCCAAACCGTCTGGACGAAAGCTGTGTGGAATCTGCAGCGATAAACACCAGAGCACTGAGCGGCAGCTCAGTGTTGCCGCGGTGAGTGCCGGGATTGCGCCCACCGTTCCAGATACAAACGGTCGGCGCGAGAAGCGCGCTGGGTGCAGACGCCAGGCCTCAGCGACCAGGCAGGTGCTGGAAGCTGGGCCCCAGTGACACTCCCTTCCCATCTCTTCTCCTGGCGGTGCTGGGCCGGAGTCTTTGGGAACGCGCTTCTTTGCTGGGCGGCTGTTGGGTGAGCCGGACGGAGCAGGCCAGGCTGTGCCCTCGATTGGACTGCGGTCACCTCTCCCGCCGTCCTGACCGAGGCCCCGGGAGGGGGCGAAGAACCAGGTCTGCCTTTTCATCCTTTTAAATTAACTAGCGGGATGTGCCTTGTATATGCTTTTTAGAAAAAGTTTTTATTAGCATATATTGGTTGTTCAAGGAGGATTCATTGTGTCAGACATTTCCATAGATGCTTTCAGTGTATCTAAGTTCACTCCACCGTCGTTCTGCCTCATCCCCGTCCCTCTACTTAAAATGATTTCGACAGGTTTCAGTGTTCTGTTTTTCATACAAAGAATATAAAGTACATCGACTATGTTCACTCTTCTTTAACCCCTCAATTCTTCCTGCCCTCCCACCAGTTCCCTCCCCCTAACTGAACCTTCCGGTTCTTCGTTTTTTTAAGTCTGTATTAATTGTTCAGTTTTTTGTTTTTTTTTTTAATAATTTTTTTTAATAATAACGGGAATAGGAAGAATCATGGCAGCTCCTCCTCCCAGGATTGGTTTGTGATTTGGGGCTGGGAAATTATGTACTGAAAGATTCCTCCTGTGTCCTCTTCGCGAGGATCTGTGGCTTGTCTAAAATACTAACCAGAAGAGAGAGGTTCAAGTAGTTCGTGTTTTCCGTGCTTGTATTTTCTGGTGTTTCAAACATCTCTTCATCTTCCTTGAAGACTACATATTTTTCCCTCGCTATAAAAATGTTAAAACTTCAATTCTTTTTTATTCTAAAATTATGGATATAATTCTTTTTTCAATTCTTTTTTATTCTAAAATTATATGGATATATAATTTCCAGAATTATTTACAAGCCTTTTAACTGTTTTATATGTGAATGCGGGAATGCCACTCAGCTCTGATGCTCCTTTTCCCCTACTTAATGTTTTCCCTTCCTCCTGCAGAAAGTTTCGTAAATTTATTTTTGATTCATCTTTATTTCTCAATTTTGGGCGCACAGTTTTTAGATAATATCAAGCGTTAGGAGCTATACCACAAACCCTTAGCCATCCACCTATTATTAGACCACCTATTATTCAGAGTCTAATAATAACCAATTGAGTGACATCATTTTAATGACTTTTAACAGCAATGAGATTGATCTGGGTTAAAAATCTTGAACTGCTATAGTATACCGTTTTCATGGCCTCTCATAAATTCACTTGAACAGATTTGACTTGCTGACAGAATTCAGGAGCTAAGCAGCATTATTGAATCTTAATGATCAAATATGAGCTACAAGCTGAGCAGTAGCTCCTTTTAATTTCCTTTGATAAGGGTTGGTTATAAAGTGAAAATGTTAATCACGTGTTTTAAAGTAACAACTTGTTTTCCATCTCTGAAAGTACTGTATCAAAATATGCATTAAGTAGTAGGTTGGTTTCTTTTAATGAATATATTTTAATGTTTTCAAAATTTAAACAGATTTTTAGTAAAGCTTTTCTTGGGAATGTACAGCAGAAACTGTAATTTTTCTTTAATACTCAAACTTTCCTATTCCTTTTTTTATATCCTATTTTATCACTTATCTTCTTCACCTACAGATCCAAGCTATACTTGTATCTTCTTCAAAATACTCATTCTGCTGGTACTGAAGAGGATGTGTTATAAGGCTATACTATGTTGTCAGAAATTCCATTACTAGAAGTAGAAATAATGTAAGAGACATTGAAATGTGTTCCAGGACAATAGAAAAGGGAAAGATGGAAAGATACCATAGTGTTAGATAAAATAAAATTGTATGTCCTGGGAAGATGAAATATATCTAAAGGACTAAAGGAAGTCCATGGGAAGAGATCCACTTTACATTAACATTATAGAATCTCCCATGGCACTTGAGAATTGTGTTAAGTTATGTAGGTCTGGAATCTAAAAGAAACTGAGACCTACAATATTAACAAAACCCAAGAATGTTTTTATTGTTGTTTTTAGGTTATTAGTATGACTGTTATTGTTATTTTTAATATTTTTGTTTTGCAATTATAGCCAGATTAGTTCCCACTTGCATCTTTCCCAGGAAAGTAAAGGCTTATTTTGGAAAATCTTACTGCTTTCATATGTCCAGCTATCCCTAGGCATCCTAAAAGATGTTAAATATAAGGCTTACCTTCTTAGCCAGTATTTTGGATAATTTGATTTCAGGATTACAATATGTTTTATGGCCCTTTATTTGGTCTTTGGTGGTGAATGTTGCAGGTGAGCTTGAGTAGTCTAGACTCCAATAATATCTAGTTGATAGCTTTGCAGGTCTTTACTTATTCTCATTTTCTGCCTGCTGGGTCTGGCCATTTCTTATAGAGGAGTGTTGACGTCTCAACCTAAAGTGGTGGATTTGTCTGTTTCTTCTTGCAGTCTGATAGTTTTTGGCTCATGTATTTTGATTCTCTGTTGTTAGGTGTATATGATCTAAGGATTATTATGTTTTCCTGGAGAATTAACTGCTTTATCAATATGTAAGATCCCTCTTTATCCCTATAACTTTTCTTATTGTAAAGACTGCTCTGTCTGAAATTAATTATTCCCACCTTTTTTTATTACTGTTTGCATGATGTATTTTTTCTAGCCGTTTACTTTTAACCTATACATGTCTTTACATTAAAAGTAAACTTCTTACAGAAAACATAGTTGGATCTTGTTTTTTGATTCACTCCCATAGTCACTTATGCTCATTTTAAATTCTCACATGCTTCATTTTCCTCCCCCTTTCTTTTCTTTTCTTTTTCTTTAGCTCTTGGTCTTGTTTTGGGTTTTAATATTTTTTCTAATCTCATTGAAAATACAGATGGTTCCACCTACAGTTTTTCCACATTGCAGTGGGTTTTTTTCAATTTACAATCAGTTTATTAGAATGTAACCCAACAACATAAGTTAAGGAGCATCTGTACTGTACTTTCCATTTAACATTTTTCTTTTGTTTCCCTCAACTGTACATTCACCAAAGTGAATTAATATAAAATTATTTTATATTATTCTCTACCTTACATTATGAAGACTTTCCTCTAATAGTTGTTGACCTTTGACTATATATTCAGTTTTAAGTGTGGGTCTATAAAAAGAAGCAGATGGCTATACCTTGTGAATGGAGGAAGCTTTGCTGCAGGCTTATTGAACACAACCCTGGCCTTTTCAATGGAGGTCTCCAACTCTCAGCCCATTTCTGCTGTCATGGAAGATATGTCTGGCTGACAGATTTCTTAAAGCTGAGGTATAGGAAGAAACTATACTATTTGATTTTTTATTTATTATTTTTTTACCTTCTAGCACATGTTCCACTCCTTGCCTTCCTTGATGTTTCCAAATTTGGTACCTCTTTTGGTTCTTTTCATGCTGTAGAATTATTTTCTCTTTCTAGGTAAAGTAGAGAGATAGATGCCTATTGAGCAGGATGCTAGTAAATCCAATTTTTTTAGCTGTCTATTTTTATTTTTTGAAGAAAGGCATCCAATTGACTACTATTTGAGGTCAGAGCCTTATTTCCAAGGCTAAATTTGTGCTAACTCTCTTTGTCTACATTTTTCACTGAATGTATAAAACAACTTCTATATGTATTCCAAATAGTATGGAGGTTATTCCAATTTGATGTGTCTTTCCAAATTGTAAGAATGTGAACATAAGCAAACATTATTTTTTTGGTACTGGGGTTTGACCTCTGGGCTTCACACTTGCTAGGCAGGTGCTGTACCACGTGAGCCACTCCACTAGCCCTTTTTTTGTGTTGGGTATTTTCAAGATAGGGTTTGTGAATTGTTTGCCTGGGTTGGCTTCAAACTGTAATCCTCCTGATCTCTGCCTCCTGAGTAGCTAGTATTACAGGTGTGAGCCACAGATGACCCCCTAGCAAACCTTTTTATCGTGAGGAAAAAATATTGTGGTGTAGGGTAGAAAGTCACCTTTTATATTCAGGAATTTGTGGTAAATACAAGGCCGTAAGTAACTGACCAGAGTAAAAGATAAGTTCAGAGAAGTAGAGCTCTAGCATAAGGTAAGTATGGTAAGTTCCCATAGGAAACATATACAAAATAGAATGGAGAAACTTCAAAATGTGCACAGACTTAACCAGTGTTTCATGGATTTTTATTTTTAGATGACAGGTTAGATAATTTCAAGAGTTGGAACTGAAACTAATGTTAAATAATGGCAACAGGTGACTTAAAAAGAAGTTTACGGAACCTAGAACAAGTGCTTCGCTCACTAAATTATCCTAAAGAGGTGGATTATGTAGGGTAAGCTGTAATATTAAATTTATTTGTGTTCATTTTGCTAATAATTTGAGATAATATATGACATGACAGGAGTATTTAGGACAAAAAATAAAGATTTTGTCTGGGTCATATTTAAATTTATTTTGAATATTTAAAATATTTGGGAAAGCAAGGAATTATAGGGGTTTGTTTATAAACATGAATTAATTAAAAATCCCAACTTTAGAGACTTAAAACATTGTTTATTAGCACAGTATATATCAATATAAGGTATTGTCTCTATCATTTTAAGTCCTCAGAAGTATAATGGATTTTATTGTATAATCTACCACCCTCCTATTTAGTTGGATGAAGCTGTTATTTTTTAATATATCCAAATGAGCAGAGATGGTTG